AGGGAAGGACAATATATGTGGTTACATTGTTTACTTTATGCAAAAGATAGCTTTTTGGCATAATCATCTTTGCTCCAGAAGTAAAGATGTATTCTCAAAGGAAGGAAAGATTTTAATGGTCTGGGGGGTTTATTTATTTAGCTAAAAGCAAGTCTGTTTCCAGAAAAGATTCAGTGCAACAATTACAAACTTTTGCATTTTGGCCTACTTTATTTATTCACAGCCTGAAGACCTAATGCTCACAGATTTTTTTTTTGTTTCACATGAAATCTGGGTAATCGTACCCATCAGTCCAAATGCTGTTTGTTTATTTTAGAAACAATATTTATATTTTGGGTTTCGCAGATGCCAGAAAGAACATTTCAGTCATGCTGAATTCCATGTCTTTACTAGGGACAAATTCTCCCTTGGTGCAACTTACGTGTTCACATGCAGGAGCTTCTCCTGCCTTCCCTATCTTGTCAGATGCCAGAAATGGCCGGAGAGAATGCGGTCTCATTCGTACCTAACTCCCTTGGTGGCCTTCAGGAGTCTTCAGACGTATACATAAGCACATAAGCAGTGGCCACCAGAGCCAGCTGACTCACTGACATTAGGGGGGGAGTTGGCTTTTTTTGTTTTTTAAAGTACAAAAGTAAGTATGTTCCATCTTCCTTTTTTCAACTATTTGATATAATACAGAGTCAACAAAACCGCATTAACTGTGTAAAATGTAACAGGGGCATCTGGAACGCAAACTGTGTTGTCCAAGTGTGCTCTGCAGAGTACATAGATTTGAAGCACAAAGACTCTTAACTAAAGCCTTGAAAGAAAAGGAAAAAAAAAGCTCCCCTTAAACTAATTCATGAGGAAAAGATATATGAGAAAAATAATATTATTCTCATATTTGTGTACCAAAGTTTATCGGACTGGATAAGACAATCTCTTTTTATAATGCCATTAGTGGAGTTTTCATAAAATATTATTAGCAATGCTTTAAAAAACTTCTTTAAGTAATAGCTCATTTGAAAAAAAAAAAGACTTTGTGGATTGCAAAAGATACTGAATTGACACCTGCAATGACTGGAATACTTTTTTATCCACAGAACATGGGTGGCAGCAGAGTAATCCCCATCCTACATCCCCCAGCCCCAGCCGCGTGTCTCACCCTTTACCTGGATACACCACTACAAAGGGTGAGGGAGCTATGGTAGTTTACTCTGCATTCCCATTCACTTGTTGACCTCTTTCCAAAAATATAGTTGCTGGTAACTGAACTAGAGCTCCAGGTTAACTGAAACGGCCAGGTGGTTTCACGTAGAATACCTTCTACCACTACTTAAATCCTGGTCTCTCTTCAATTGGGCTGAGTTAAAACAAGAATGCCGAATTTACGGTCTGTTGGTTGTCACTAGAATTATCCATTCCTGGCTCTGTCAAAGCTAATGGGACTTGAAGGGCAATATTTCATCTGCTACAGTTAATGTATAGACTGTAAAGCAAACCATAAAAATAGAAAAAGAGTTAAAATTAATAATGCAAATTTAAAACCAACATTGCCATAACATATATGAGGTAATTAACTCCTTTTTAAATTATTGTTCACTGCAAGTGAAAGGCATTCACTGTAAAGCCTGAATAGCTGGGCTATTTCTGAGTGGAACGCAGGAGATTACAGCCTCCCGTAATCTCTGCATCAGTTGCAGTGTTGCGTGGGGACCACCTGATCTGCATGAATGTGGCATGGTGAGGCACGCTTTTTTTTACAGGGGACCCACAAGAAAAAACGTAATGCATTGAGTGCTTGCATAGAAGCCCGTATCTGAAAGCCCATATGAAGACAAATATTACTTGGATATTGTGCTAACTTACAGAATTTGGATCTGAAATAGCAAGATGACAGTTTACGTACTGGCTTTTCCCCCTGCTCTCCTGTTGCATAGCTTGCTTTGATTTAAAAGAGATTTGTTTAGGTTCAAGTGTCTTCTTTCTCCTAAGTGAAGGGGGATCAGCAATATTTCTGTAACAGCAGCAGCATGCCTGGCATTTGATGTTTTTTGGAGATTTTATTATCCAGGGGTTCATTTGGATCTTTAGACTGTTGGCACTTGGGGGAACTCAGCAGTCATTCCGTTACAGCAGATATAATGCTGCGGGAGTTTCCAGAGCTCTCAAATATAGCATAGAGTGAAAGAGACAATAGTTATAAAAGGTATAGGATGCGTCTTCTTTTGCTGCTTTGGTTGCCAGCTGTGGAGGGACGCAGTGGGCCTTCTCTTCGTCCTAGTTAGATTAGCTAGCAATACTAAGCAGGGGAAAATTTTTATTCATGGGGTTTGAAGGTCTTCCAAGTACAGGCAATCCCTTCTAGGGTTTGCCAAAAGAGGAAATGTATATGACTGTATTCATGGCTGTAAAGCAGTAGTCTGATATCAAGTTTGGATGCAATAGGATGATTCACAACAGGGTGAAAGGAAGATTTATTAAAGAGACTAGGGCTTTAGAGTATTTTCTGTTCCTTTCTGATTCAAAAGCTAGGAATAATCATTGCATACTTAATTTTCTTTTTTCTGTTTCTTATGTTAGTGTTTTTAATTTCTTTTTCTGTTCATCTACTGCTGATGTCTTTACATGTCTTCCCTTGTCAGTCTACACAGAACTAGCTCTCTGTGAATGGGAGGCTTACTAATGTGTACTGAGGAACAAATGAATCTTAATATATTTTTGCTGGGGTTTATTTCCAGTTTTTATTGCAATTTTATGCTTTAAGCGCTCTTACTGTAACACTCAAAATCTTTGTTAAGGTCTTTGAGGAAGGATCAATAGTCAGTACAGCACAAATCTTGTACCCTAAGAATTTTAATTGGAATACTTGTGATTATTTAATCATCTTGTTTGCCTCAAACACTATTAGAATATATGTACAAATAGTAGAATTACATTAACAGAATTCTGAAACTGCTTATTATTAAAACCCTCTTTCTAACTAATACCCGTACTCACACAGACTTGAAGCTTCCCTATGCACTAGTTTGAGAGTTCGGAACAGGAGATAAAATAGGGATGAAAGAGAGAGCTGTGATCTCAGAGGAGATATTAGGCACCAGAAATTATGGTGTTCTTGTTCCAGCTCTTACACTGACTCTGATACTTCCATTTCTATAGCACTTGCCATCTCTGGATCTCAAAGTGGATTATAAAGAATAGTGCTTTAAACCTTCCTGCACCTCTAGGAGATAGGTAAGCAATATTATTCCCATTTTACAGATGGAGAAGTTGTGATACAGAGAGGCTCAGTGTTTCTTATTAAAGTTTATTTATGAACACACATGCATGCACATACACAGAGCCAGAAACGGATGTCAGAACTTTCATTGCCCCCTGTTTTAAGCTAAGTCCATCCTCCTTTCCATTTAACCTCTCTGATTTATATTCCCCATCTGTAAAAAGACGGAAAGTCGTATAGACATGGAGAGATTTGCTTGCACATAAATTTCTGTGCAAAAACAGAAAAAAAAAACCCATGGAGGACGAAAGTTGCCTTTGAAATCCAATGCATTTTATGTGTTGGCAGAGGATACTTGGGGATTCGGGACAAGGATTTTTGTAGGTGGGGAGAGTTGCAGGTGTTCTGCACCCTGATGTGTAATATTTAGTTATTGCTATAAAATAGCCCAATTGTTTTGTAATATAAGCATATTAACGGAAGTTTAAAAATTAAAAAATGCACTAATTTACATGGCAAAAGACGAGACACAGCCAGTAACTCTCTCTCTGTATTATCTGAAAGAATATTGTAAACAGATTTTGCTGTGCACCCCAAGTGCCACATCAACACCACCAATGCACTGGCTCAGACAGGATTAGGACAGCAGTGCTGCATGAAAGCAGCAGTTGCCCCGGCTGCGTATCTGTATAGTTTTCTCCCATGTAAGTCCTACTGTGTCTGTGCTGCAGCGTGAGCTCCTCAATGGCAGGCAGCACTCTAGAGTACTGCACTTACAAAAAAGTTTTGAAGATCAAATATAAGTCTTGTTATTACTATTATTGGAACGATTGCTTCTTGTAATATTTAAAAAGATATTTTAAACGATGTCTAGAAACTTGATTGGTCTGATCATATACTGCATCAAAACATCATGAAGATTCCTATCTCATTAATCTTAACTACAATGTTAAAAAAATATCTTGCAGAAGCTTTTAAAAATCCTTTCTAATTCTGCTACTAATTTGCTACAGAATTGAAACATCCAAAACATAATATATTAGATGTTTTAATTTTAATGTTAATAACACATCTGGCAATTGTCCGTATGTTGAACAGACAGCTTATATATAAATGTTTTTCACATTTTTCTGCGTGCATCCTATGGCATAGGCAGGCTAGATTAGACGAACATACAACACCCATGTTAACATTTTCCTGTAAGTAATCTAACTTCCCTGTGATACAGTAGATACATTTCGTATGTTTACTAGTGAATATATATAGTGAATAAGTATGGCTAATGTATATGTTAAATGGAACGGAGACTGGATGTGTTTGTGTGTCAGCATGCAAGCATCAACATGTATACATGGATGGCTTGATTCAAAGATTCATTCTAAAGTTAAGATCCCTTTTTGTTTTAGTTGTAACACTTCATGCACAGAAATATACTGAATTTCAGGTGGGGATTTAGTTGATTTACTAAACAATAATGATGATGATGATGATGATAATACTTCAGCAAGCGAGTTAGTTCCTTGCCTCGACTTCATGTGTGACTGAGATCAGAATTTAACCCAGGGTCTTCCTGAATGCTAGTACAAATCATTTGTTACCTTTGCTCCCAGTCGCAGTTAAAATAGCCAGTGTCTTGAGGTAACATAGCTACCACAGCTGGTGGATTGGGATATGGGTTTGCTAATGCATTGACCTTCTTCATCTGTGTAACGCAAGTTAATTTCCAGCCTGACAGTAAATGCTGAAATTTGAATTGTAGCACTAATGCACCATTTTTTCATCTCTGTCAAACCAG